TTGCAGCCGCTGCAGGTCTCGCTGGCTTTGCGACCGCAGTTCCAGCAGCTCTGCAAGACCAAAGACACCGTGTGTGAAATGGGTTTCGTTTCCAAGAGCTGCAGGATGGTGCTGACTCAGCACTGGAGGGCACTGCTCATCCCCTCTGGCCTACATTTGGTAATATTAAAATGACCAATCCATTAATTCCTGTTATTTCACAGCTCTTTGCCAATGGTTCTAATCCCAACTCATCTGCTCGGCCTGAAGCCACTGCCAGACTGCTCTGGTCACATAACCCAACTCCTCTGCTCAGCCTGAGGCCACTGCCAGACTGCTCTGGTCACATCCTCTCCCCTAGATCCACTCAAATGCATAGAAGAAACAGCAGGCAAAGAGTAAGAAACACACTGCAGATGCTGCTGTTGGGTCCTTTTATTTCCTGTTTTAAACAGCTCTGTTTTGGTCTTGCTCCCAGCCAAGCACTCTCCACAGGGATTACGGAGTGCTGCACCGGCACCATTTGCTCTGCACCCTGCCTAGCTGCACAAGAGGTTGGAGCAGGCTGATTTGGAAAAGAAAAAGCTCATTTGAAAGCTTCTCAGCCAGGTGGAAGCACTGCCAGAGCCCAGGCTTCAATCTGGAAGCAGAGCAAAGCCCCTGTGGCCGCAGGGAGAGGTGTCAGCTGGTGGGGTCCCAGCCTGCCACCGCTCCCCTCCGAGCGCGGGGGCAAGGGGCCAGCGCCAGAGCAGCTGCTCCAAGGATGGAGCCGGCGGATCAGCTTCCCTGCAGCTGGACTTGGGTGTAGCAAACACATCCTGGGGAGGACAAGCTCAGCTGTGGGAGTGCAGCTTCCTTTGGAGCTGCTCTGATCCTGCCCAACAGGGCACCCCTGGGGGACACGGCTGCTGCGACCACTGGCAAAGAGCTGTGGAAGCAGGGGAGAGGGGTGGGGGGAGATGCTGGGCTGTAGCAGGCAGGCCTGTTGTGGGGAAGGGCAGTGTCATTCCCCTTTCCTAGGCTCTACACTGGAGCCAGCAGCTCCCAGTGATGATTTACAAGCTGGCAGAAAAGCACCAAAGCGAGCTGGTTAGGAGCAAGTGGCTCCAGAGCCAGCACGTCCTCAAGGCTCCTCTACCTTCCAGAAGCAGGACTCCTGACCAAAAAGCCCCTACCAAAGGCTGTGGTAACTCTTGGAAAACTGAGTCACTGCTTTGCAGCTGTTTACACTTGGAAGTGTTTTTAAACTGTGTTGCAAAGGTTCTGTGCTATGCCAGAACACAGCACAGTTTTAGAGACAAGCTTTGGGGATTGCACAGGGGTGCTCAGCAGCTCCTGAGGTCCTGTGCTGCTCCCCAGCACGGCTAGAGGAGGAGGACACTCCTCTGGTATTCCCCTATGGAGAAATCACTGCTTGTCTCATTCCTTCCATAGCTTCCTGAGCAGTTCCACCCACTCCCATCATGTGTTTATCGACTGGTGCATTCAGCCTCCAGTGATTTAACTGGGAATTAGAGTATGGATACACTTCTCTGTAAAGACACCTAATAGCTCCATGGTACCAGCTGTGCATGGGGACTCAGAGCCAGAGCTTCCTCAGCCCCAGGTGAGGTGAAATCCCACAGGAGGAGGGGATGAACCTGCTGCCCACACATGCCTGCAGACATGGACACCACATTCCCATCAGAATTTTGCTTGGCAGAGACAAAGCCTCTGCTCTTGCACTTGTGCAGAGAAATTGAAACATGAATCAAAGTCCACATGGATGGGATGTGACAGTGTGGGAATTGGCCATGCAATTTCCCTTGCCCAACCAAGATCTCCAAAGCTTAATCAAGTGCAAGTGTCCAGACCAAGTCCAACATGTAAGTGTGGTCCAGACCACCAAGAGCTTCCCCTGCAGCTCAACTTCCACCCTGGGCTGCTTTAGAGCTCACAAACAGCAGTTCCTCTTCTGCACAGATCAAGTACCCCACACCAGCAGATTTCTGAGCTAAACAGAGAGCTGCATCCACCAGCATTCCTTTCTCTTTGCTTCTACACCTCTCTCAATCCCACAAAATCCCTGGTCACTACACTGCATCCAGCTCATGGTGCCCAGTGGTGCCTTCACGTGGCTGTTTTGCACATGTGGGTGCCACAGGCACAGTTTAGGATGATTTCCCTGAAAGCAAAGATTGGAGAGAGACTTCTAAAAGGAAAAGGTGCTCAAGGTGAAGCTGGACAGGACTTCAGGCAGCTTGGCCTAGTGGAAGGTGTCCCTGCCCATGGCAGAGGAATGGAACGAGATGGTCTTTAAGGTCCCTTCCAACCCAAACCATTCTGCAATCTATGATCCTATGAAAAGGGATGGGGCACCTCCAGGCAGGACCTGGAGACTCCGTGAGCCTTGAAAAGTCCCTTCTTAGGATGCCCCTGGCACCTTACCTCCGTGGACTCCTCCTGTTCGTTTATGACTAGGAAGGCATCCTCGGTGGCCTGGCGCTTGGCGTCGGCGATGGTTTGCTCCATGCGCGCCCTCTCGGACGCGATCATCTCAAACGCCTTCTGCTCCGCCTCTGCCACTGCCTTCTGCACCTCTGACATGGCCTGGCGCTTCACCTCGTTCACAGCTTCTTCTGGAAGGAAAGAGCAGCTTCACTCCCCTGCCCAAGCAGTGGGATGAGCCTCCCAGAGACACAGAGATGGAGCAGAGTGTTCCCTGAGGGTCACGCCCAGCAGCAGCATCCCAGCTGCTCCTGGGAGCAGTGAGGCCAGGCTCAGCCCCACAGGATCCCCGTGTCACTGGGCAGAAGGAGCAGAGCCCTTTGGAAAACCCAGGGTGGGGATGTTGGCACCCACATGTGCACATCTAAGGTGTTCCTGCAGCTGGGCTTTTGCTGTTTCTGCACAGCAAATCCACAGAGTCTGTGTTTGCCCCAACTGGCCTGGCAGAATCCCTGGCCGAGGTCACCAGCAAACACTCACCAGCTTTTTTCCAAATCTCCTCGGTGACGTAGCCTGTTCCTGACCTGCTGCTGAACTCCCGCAGGGAATCTGTGGGAATAAGGGACACAGGAAAAAGTTGGCAAAGCCTCATCTCACCCAACTGTTGCTTATATGCCCAGTGGTACTTCAGGACATCATGGGGCAGGGAAGGACTGACCAACTAAAACCCAAAGCAGAAGATTCCTACTGTTAAAGCCATTCCTCAAACACTCAGACAATAAATTACAACATTTAATTAGTGCCCTGCATAATTTATGACACTATATAACCTATTTCCATCTCCTGGTACTCTATAACAATAAGCACTGCTTATAAATACATGTCATCCAACATCTGCACTGTCCAGAGACTCTGAGCTCTAACCTATAGACCAGCAGTTTACATTAAACACAGCACTTCCCACTCCCAGGGCAATCCAAAGGCTTGAACTGATGGACAAACTGTACTGCAAGACATCTAGGGATGCTGCCTGATGTCTAACTGCACCTTCTCACAAGAGCAATGGAACTTGAAAATCAGCCCTAGGTCCCACATGGGGAGAAAGCATCAGCTGCATTCCCAAGTTATACAAAAATCTATATAAAAGTTGAATTACAAATGAGGCTGTGAGTCTGTTAGTCATGGTACACATAAATATCAAGAGCTAAAGGCTGACTGTGCCCCTCAGGCTGTCACACACACCCAACCACCTCAAGGGCTCACCCCTCACTGACAGCCAGAGCCACAGGCACAGGATTCCTTGCAGGAGGATTCACTCTTTATTTTGTACACAAACAAGTGGAATATATATCAAATTGACAGCTATTCTTGCTAGAAAAAAAATCCACTTCTGTTACTGAATAATTAGGTGTTCGTTTTTTTTCCCCAGGACTTGAACTACAGTATATTTGTTTGGATGGAGATTAGAGTTACATCCAAATAAATCAAATCAGCATTTTTTGACTTGTTTTTTTTTCATATAGGGCCAAACTGGAGGGGAAAACTAGTCAGCTTTAATAAAGTTAAGTTGACTCATGGTACAAAAATAGAATTAATAACACAGGTAGTTATTACACTCACAAAAGTCTTTGATATTTTTAGAATAAGTAGACCTTGACATTTAGAATCCTTTAGGCAAGAGGCACTGGGAGGAGAAGAGAGGTGGAGCCAAACACCTCTCCTGCCTTTTCACCCCTGGGTTTGTCAGCTTTGGATCAGCTTGGCTGCATTTGATCTGTAAATATGGCTCAGTGACAAGGAAGGAGCTCTTCAGCACGAGCAAAAGTGCCTTCAGACATCACCAAGTGCTGCTTCCAGGAGCTCACCCAGGAGCTTCCCTGCGTCCGATGACTCAAAGCTTGGAGAACAGCTTCCCCGTGTCTCTCTTCAAAGCTTCGAGCACAGTTACACACTGCTTAAGCACTGTGTCTCCATTATAATTTGAATATATTATCATCACTTGATGCCTAATATAGCTCTGTGGTAATTAGACACCTCCAGCAGCAGGGCTGGCCCAGCTCTCCGGGCGCTGTCTTACCGCTGCCCACGGAGTCGGAGCTGCTGGGGCTGTGCTGGCGGGAGAGCAGCTCCCCTGCCTTGCGCGGCTCGGCCTCGCTGCATCGCCGCTTCCAGTAGTTGAGCTCCTCTCGATCAGCCTCCTGGCAGCGCCGCAGCACAGCCATGGACCGGCGAGTCTTCTCCACCATCTCCATGATGCAGTTCAGTGCCTGCGGGGGAAAGTGTTTTCAGGCTTGTTTGGGAGGTTGGATCATAGAATGTGAAGGGGTTAGAATGGAGCTTAGAGATCATTCAGCCCCAACCCCCTGCCCTGAGCAGGGACACCTCCCACCAGAGCAGGTTGCTCAAGGCTTTAGCCAACCTGGCTGTGAACACTGCCAGGGTTGGGGCAGCCACAGCCTCCCTGGGCAACCTGGGACAGTGTCTTACCACCCTCACAGGGAAAACTTCTGCCTAATATCTAACTTTCCCTTCTTTCAATTTCTTCCCATTACTCCTTGTCCAGTCACTGCAGTTCCTATCCAAGAGTCCCTCTGCAGATTCCCTGGAGCCCCTTCAGCTCCTGG